TATAGATGGAGTCAGATTTACTAAACGACCATTTAATTAAAAGAAAAACATTTGTTTGATAGAATTGTGTAATAGTGTAGTTTGAAGAGTTGAACAGTCAAAACTGTAAACCGAATCAAAGGACCATCAAAAATATGTAATGTTTTGAAAACTTCCAAAAAGTTGTTTAACCTCCAAATAAGCTAATTGCAAAATTTTCAAATGTTTTATTACAAAAGTTAATGATAAGTTCTTTGATAGTGGTTCGGAAACTTGGTAAAAGTAAACTAACAGATATACCAAACTCCAAAGAAAATTTGAATTGGAAAGTCCCGTATCAAATGGCAAAATCAAAAGCTCAAACACATCATACGAATGGAAAACAACTGTCATATTCCTGACTTTGTACAGGCATTTCCTTATATAGAAAATGGTAGATTTCTAAAAAACTCATCTGAAGGTACCAGGACCTTGTTGATAAATATTCCGTTTCAACTTCACAAATAATACACGATGGTCTTGAAGTATAGATTCTGGGTACTGACGTTGTTTATCATCTTAAAAACGTGTTTTACGTGTTATAGTATTCTTTTATTTGTCTTTATGAATATTATTTTTAATTTTTATATTTTTGTCTTTCATTTTTGCTAATGTGCTTTGTCTATATGCCTGTTTGTGTTTCTTTGATACATATGATGTGGCTCTCCACTTATACACCTCGTCATTGTGTTATTGTGCTATTGTAAATTTTTGTATTCTTGTCTTTTATTTTTGCCAATGTGCTTTGTCTATCTGTTTTGTTTGTGCTTCTTTGTTACATATTTGTTTGTTTTTACAGTGATTACGATTATAACACAATGTTGACTGCTGTACCCCTTTTTTTTCACCTATTATGTCTGTTTGATTTGTTCACACATCGTTGTCAATATAATGGAATTTGTATCCAGATAGATAACAACCACCTCCCTCCATTTTTGTCGCATTGCAGGATATTATCACACACACACACAAAAAAAACCCAAACATAAATCGACTTACGTTTAACATGCATATGATTTAATTAGAGATTGATTATATATTATTAAAGAAAAAAACTTGTCTCTCAGTTTTAGAATGTTTGTATAGAAAATGTCCCCTTTTCATAAAAAATCATGGAAGCCAGAGATTTGTTGTAAATTTACGCATAGCCTGGGCCGTGATATTCGTTAATTTTATCCCTCGCTTATGCTCAGGATAAAATTCGAATATCACGTCCCAGGCCATGTGTAAATTTCCAACAAATCTATGGCTTCCATGATTTTTTTCTGAATTAGATACGGTATTGGGATAAAATATATCTATATTTTGTGTGTTCTTACTTATATTCGGTATGGTTTTTAACTTTATTGTTGCAGGCCGCGTAAGGTGATTGATATTAAATCTGGTGACCGTTCTCTCATTGGAAATCGTACCATATCTCGTTATATTTTCATATAAAGTAAAAGAATATTCAATCTATTCCATTGAAAGAATCTATGTCCCAATATTTAACTTTCACATACAAATTGAATGCAGAACCTATCTATGAAGAAATAACATAAAAAATGTGTGGTACACTTAATATCCGGCGTAGCGGGTTATTTTAATGTGTGCACCACATTTTTTATGTTATTTCGAATAGACAGAAAAATATTACAGTCAATCCTTCTAATTTAATTCTCAATTTCATTTTAAACCGGAGTAAAACATGAAAAAAACGTTGATGACATTCCGATCATATGACAAAATTATGTCTATGAGCTGATAGACAAAACACTGTTAGCCAATCAGAAGACGCGTTACATCCAAAATTAAATTATTCAGCAATATTCTTTTTCTGAATTTACTTTGTGTTTCTGTATTTATTCATTATTTATTTAAATCAAGCCGCCGTTAATTTTCATGTTTGAATTGTTTTATGTTTGTCATTTCGGAGCCTTTTAAAGCTGACTATATTTATGTGGTATGGGTTTTGTTTATTGTTGAAGGCCGTTCGATGGTCTATATTTGTTACTTTATATGTCATTTGGTCTCTGGTGGGAAGTTGTCTCATTGGCAATTATACACCCTCTTTTTATTTTTACCTTGTCAAAATGACATCTAATTATCATAGCACTGGTTACTAATTAGTTTCATACGTTTAGAATACCTTCAGATTTAAAAACATCAGTACAGGGCACGTGACAGATTTATAAGATTTCTATTATAAAAATCTTGGAAAAGTCAGTGCTTTTATTGATGTGTAGAATTGGAAATCACTTTCTTCATATTTTTGAAACGAAAATTGACGAATGAACTGTAAAATTCGAAAGTCTGCCTGTAAAAAATGTCAAGACAATACACTTCAAAGTTGATACGAAAAACATGAACCTGGAAACATAAATAATTGAAGAATGAAGGTTATTAAGTGCCGGTTGCATGGGCTATGTTTATAAATTCACTGATAAAGATAATTAAAGAACACACGATGATCAATAAATGAAGTAAAATTCAAGTTTATATATGACAGTTGTTTGCTTTAGAGTCATCACATGTGTTGAAATAGTTAAAGTACGAAATTTTATTATATGATGACTTTTTAGATTGCTAATAATAATAAACTCGTACCGTTACCTAAGTATTAGGACTGGTCATCCAAATACGTATTCACAATTGTCGGTTGGGGAATAGATACTTTTAAACTTAACTTTGCGCGTTGACATGATAATGAAGAAATAAAAACGATATGATTTGGTTTTACTGTTTCAGATATTCATGCGAAATAATTGTATTCCTTGTGAGCAGCAACCCTCTATCAAGGAAAGGATAGGAAATACAATATAATTGAGAATGGAAATGGGGAATATGTCAAAGAGACAACAACCCGACCAAAGAGCAGACAACAGCCGAAAGCCACCAATGGGTCTTCAACGCAGCCAGAAAATCCCGCACCCAGAGGTGGTCCTCAGCTGGCCCCTAAATAAAATTGTGTACTAGTTCAGTGAAAATAGACGGCACACTTAACTCCAAAACATATAAATGAACTAAAATAAAACAAAGCAAGCCCGGAAATATCGTATCAATTGGAAAATATATACTCCGTATGCAGGCGCTGCTGGAATGTTGCTACATAGAAATTGAAAGGTCACAATTGGGAAGCTGAAATCATCTCTTTTGTCGCAAAGTTTTGTTTTCAACCGACCTTCATTGTCAATTTCTAGATGTAAGTTATGAGGCAGACTTAAAAGTGTCTGTTGTATCCTTTATCTCTAGTTCGATGGGATAGATGCGTTCAACATAGTCACCAAATTTTGAATTATTTAGAACATCATCTATATAGCGGAAAGTAAACTTAAAGGATACTTTTAACATATTTTCTTTCTTCCTCAGAAGATCCTGTATGAAGTCAGCCTCTTAAGAATAAAGGAACAAGTCGGTAATAAGAGGGGCACAGTTGGTTCCGATGGGAATGCCGATAATTTGTTGAAATACACGTCCTCCAAACGTAACAAATATGTTCTCAATAAAAAATCAAGTATCTTAGTAATGTCAGTTTCAGAGAAATTTTTGTTTGAATCAGAATTACTAATTACAAAGTAGGATTTATCCCTCCATAAGACAAGATACTTGTATCTACGTTGGCCATTCTTTTTTATGAAATGAAGCAATACCAACTCGTTCAATTTGTCTTTTAGTTTGGAATGGGGCATACTTGTGTAAAGTGTAGAAAAGTAAAATGTTTTAATACTGTTGCAAGATGAAAGAGTCTTAGATTGTATGTACTCTAAAAGATCTTTGGAATTTTTTAGTATCCATATCTGATTCTCGCCACCTCTAGAATAGGCATTTTAACAATAACTTTGAAGCCCGGCTTTGATTTCTGATAAAATTGATGTTAATAGTTTAGAAAGAGGTTTCGTGGATCACTTGGAAGACCCAGCAATATACTGTTGTTTGTAAGGACACTTATGTAGTATATGTATCCAATACCAGTTCTTCATCTTTGGTTAAAATACCAAAGGAACATAGAACAGACCTATGATTATCCAGGATTTCCTCGTTAGTAAGTGTCGTGGGGGTATATGTTGGGTTTCCAAGTAAATTGTCAATACGTAATTCATTTATCAAGCAGTTTATTTAATGTGATCTACACATAAAAACGATGTTGTTTCGGGCTTTATCTGCGGGGACAACAACATATTTGTCATAGAGGTAGGACAAGTGTTTTGCAACATTTGGGTCTTTAAAGATTGACGTAGCATGGGTATTGAAAGACCCATTCAGTTTCTTAATTCTGATTTGTATCAACGACCTTACAGCCTTTATCCATTCGGAAAGATAATCTACGTCTTCTTTCTTGCGTTTTACCCATTGCCTGGTATAATCCTCGACTGAATCAGTATTTTGAAGTTGTGTTTCGAATTGATGGATTTAGGCTCACGATATTTCGGACCGTTGGATAACACTGCGAAAATTTATCTAAATCAGTATTAGTATAGTTTTAGATCTTTTATAGATGTCAGTATGGTTAGCCTACTTTTTACCTGATCATAGGATCAGCTGTGGATTTTTTCTGCTAGATGTTTAGAAATAGATTTTATTACATTTTGGACTCCCTGCTCATTTTTTTAATGACATTTGAAATGGTGTTTCTGCATTTTTTTTTAGGTCCTATCAAAATGCAAAAGCCCAATGCCATCTCAAATTCTACAGAAAAAACATCAGTCAGTAATATACTTAATTGTAGATACTAAGTGAGATATACAAGTATTTTTTTTTTCGTGGGAATGGACTTTATACTTTTGTATATGTTAATTAAGGATTTATATATCATGAAATATTTTAAACACGGTTTATTCATCTACAAATTAACATATATCATTGATTCTTATGTTTAGTTTATTGACAGGGTTTTGATAAAAAAATACACTATATATCTCATGTATATGATCAAGTCAGAAAATCTTTATAGCCAAAGTTTTGATATTTTTGTGTTATTAATATCTGTAAATTCATATTTTCAGATAAACAGTCTTATGAATTATTTATACGAAACCATAATACAAAAATGAATGATGCCTGCTTCAAACATTACAGAATTGTAAAACTGAACAATGGTGGCTATTATATCAGTCCTAGGAGGGCATTTCCTGTACTTTTAAAACTAATTCAACATTACCAAGGTAATAATAAAACTAGGACCAGTGCAACATCTCGAATAAATGCAGGTGTTTCAGGAAATGATCTTTAAATAGTTTTCAAAAAGGACATTTGAATCAGTGGCAATCCGGCAATATCAAATGAATCCAAATAAAGGTATTATATTAGATGTTTAGGTTCTAATGATATATTTATGTATCTTTATTTCAGGTGTAGGAGATGGGTTATGTTGTCAGCTCACTGGTCCATGTCCTAAACTGCCATCACTAGTCCAGTTCAGAGAATTAGAAGTGGCCAGAGAATCGGTCCAATTAATGAAAAAAATAGGAAGTGGTTCTTTTGGTGATGTCCATGCAGGTATATCAAACTAACCATTGGTAACCATATTAAAGAGGGACGAAAGATACCAGAGGGACAGTCAAACTCACAGATCGAAAACAAACTGACAACGCTATGGCCAAAAATAAAAAGACAAACAGACAAACAATAGTACAGAATTACACAACATAGAAAACTAAAGACTAAGCAGCACGAACCCCACCAAAAACTGGGGTTGATCTCAGGTGCTCCGGAAGGGTAAGCAGATCCTGCTCCACATGTGGCACCCGTTGTGTTGCTTATGTTATTACAAATCCGGTAAGTAGACTAATTCGGTAGGTCACATTCGTGAAAAGGGAAGGGTATTGTAGTTACGACATAAGGAACATATCCGATATCATCTGTGAAACGGTTATTCCATAACGGTCAACCAACTCGTGATGGCGTCCGTAAAATTTACGAAGAGATGACTTCAACTTCACCATTTGGAACTCTTGGTTTAATAGCTTCCTTGTAAGCAGCAATCCTCTATCAAGGAAATCATGATAGGAAATACAAGCCCGGGAATATTGTATCAATTGGGAGATATATACTCCGTATGCAGGCGCTGCTGGAATGTTGCAACATAGAAATGGAAAGTTCACAATTGGGAAGCTGAAATTATCTCTTTTGTCGTAAAGTTTTGTTTTCAACCGACCCTCATTGTCAATTTCTAGATGTAAGTCAAGATATGAGGCAAATTATAATATTTAAAAAGATAGTAGTAAATATAGACAAAAACAACACAACAACGAACAACACATGGTCCTAGGAGCTTGGTACACACAAAGAGTGAGGTGGGTTGGAACCAGTTTTACATGAGCTGTTCTGTCGAAACCTTTATTGACAATCTACACACACATGATAAATTTTGTTGTCTTAGTGAGCGCCTAACTATATGAAAACACTCAAAATTGAAAAATGTGCAATTTGTATAAAGACTTAATGTTTTAGATTTTTGTAAATCTACAGTTCTAAATACTTTCTATCAACCAAACTAAATTCTATATATTTTGCTCAGGCAAATGGAAAAATACAGTTGATGTAGCTGTAAAGATATTAAAACGGGGTGTTATTACTGTAGAAGACTTTTATTTAAAAGCCAAACTTATGCATGAACATAGACATCGTAAATTTGTACAATTATTGGCTGTATGTTCTACAACAGAACCTATATGGATTATAACAGAACTGATGGTTAATGGCTCGTTGTTAGATTATTTACGCATAAATAGAGAAAAATCAATTAAACTTCCTGTCATAATTGACATGGCTGCACAGGTGAGAAAAATCAATTAAATTTTCTGTCATAGTTATATTACTGGTAAGAAAATTCAACTGAACTTTCAGGAAATACTGTAATAAAATTAATAACTTGATTTCTTGAAATCAATTGAAAAGTTTTAGTCTATTTAATATGTCTATTAGCAAGAAGTCTAATGAAAATGACATGTTAATAGTCCCAAAAACAAACAATCTTTGACTGAGAAGTCAATTATTTTATATTAAATTTAAGTGCATCTGGAAGGCAATTAATGTTTTGCAGGAAGATTCATTTATAGTTCAAGGCAAAAATAAACAAATCCCTGAAAAAATGTAAACTTGTAAAATCTGTATGAATGGTCCCTTATGAAATTTGAAAAAAAAACTTATAGGTAATATCAAAAATAGTTATTTTTATTATAACTTGTATAGGTAAGTGTGAACATCATTTGTTGAAGTAATGCCCCTGACTGATATTAGATGGAATTCTTAGGATTAAACTATTTATAAAAAAAATATATTCTTCTATGAAGACAATAAGATGGCATAAAGTTGATTACTGTCTTCTCTGAATCCAGTGGATACTTGTCTCACTGAAAATTCATACCTCGTCTCCTGATGTCTATTTTATCATTTTTTTTTTGCATTGACGCATTTATTGTAATTGTTCTTTACTGTTGAGATATCTTAATTTCTGCTGCAGTTATGTATTTCATTGTCTGAATATGTATAAGTGTACACGTTTTTAGTAAGTCAAACTAAAGGCTCCATCATTTTGTAATAGCCATATCAGAGATTTATTGAGTATTTTCTTTGAACATAGCTAAATACAAAAAAAAAGATGTGGTATGATTGCCAATAAGACAACTCTCAACAAGAGGAGACCATAGTTAAGAAATTTAAATGCCAAAAGTATACAAGACGTCAGAGTTTCATGATGTGAATTTTTGAATGTATAAATTGATAACCAGTCATGAGGCAAAACTTACATACATGTTTTAAAAGGAAGTGTTAGTAAACTGAATTTTAAACTTCATAAATCAAGATGATAAACAAATGACTGCTAAAAAACCAAGATAAATATCAACATTTGTTTGTATCTTTTAGATAGCAGATGGTATGGCTTATCTAGAGACCGAGAATATTGTACACAGAGATCTACGAGCATCCAGTATATTTGTAGGAGAACGCAATGATGTGAAGGTGGGACACTTTGGTATTGTGTATGAGACTGATGAGTGTAAGATTTTACAAATATATATTTGTATGATTTATTTCAAAGATTATTTTCACTGAATAAGAAATCAAGTAACCACTCTGAAAAACTTGATCTCTGTTTTTTAACATTTTTCCGTAGTTGGCTGACATGAATTATAGCTGAATTTAATTTTTTCATTCAAATAAAATCACTGGTTATATTAAGTTAGTTAGTTTTAGTCATTCAACATTTTTACACTTAAACGCAGTATTTAATTTATTATTATTATTTTCACTGAATAAGAAATCAAGTAACCACTCTGAAAAACTTGATCTCTGTTTTTTCACATTTTTCCGTATTTGGCTGACATGAATTATAGCTGAATGTATTTTTTTTCATTCAAACAAAATCACTGGTTAAATTAAATTAGTTAGTTTTAGGCATTCAACATTTTTACACTTAAACGCACTAAACCCAGGTGAGACAAAGGATTATGAGAACCTTTTACAACTTTTTAAGTTAGGATTTGTGTTTACTTTAAGGGATGCATAAACCTTCAAAATTTGTAAATTACATCTTTGATAGGTGTTATTGTATGTAATGTCTCAAATGTTTAAGTAACACTAAATCTACCATAATAAAATAGTAAATGCACAGGTTAAAATTTTAAACAGCGTGTTAAGATAGTTGGACAATGTTTTGCGCTGAACAAAATACATAAATATTTATTACTTCAGTAAATAAAAGTTGTGTATGGTACTTTTTTGTCATTTTAGGAATTTAACATTTATATGTTATATTGATAGATATTAAGTTCCCTATAAAATGGACGGCACCTGAAGCAGCTTTTGATAGAACGTTCAGTATAAAATCTGATGTGTGGTCGTATGGTGTGTTGTTATATGAATTAATCACATTTGGTCGTTGTCCCTATCCAGGTAAGTCAAAAATAAAATTTTGTTTTATATAAAAAGCATGAGCATTGTCAATAATAAGTTTTCGGTGATGAGGAGACTCTAGTTAGTAGGTCAAAAACAACACGTTCTTTGTTAGCTTATTAAATTACCCGAAAGGCAGATTAGTTACAACGACATACATGCTTTTTATTTAGGAAATTAATGATTTGTAGCCCAGAAAGTCAAAATGTCTTTCTTGTGATTACAGGAATAAAAGGAGATGACTTGATGAGTGAAGTCGACTCCGGATTACGAATGTCTAAACCAACCGAAGGACCAATACCATGTCCTGATCCTTACTATGACATCATGCTACAGTGTTGGAAGAAGTTGGCTGAGACCAGACCAACGTTTGCTTTCCTTCATGGTTACTTTGATAATTACTTTGCTACGGTCGAAGAGTCGTACAGAGAAGCTACCTGTGATTAATGACATATCTGCCATGATGATTCCTCTATTCAGGAACATATCGAAAAACGGTCTTCCAATACTTTATAACAGTGTTCATTGTATAAACAAGAGTGCAAAGTACCTAAGACAAAAATCCATCCTTTGTGTGGAAAACCTGTTACCAACTATCAGTTACATATAGTAACTCAAAAGGTGTCTATTATTTTTGTGTTCAATTCTCAACATAATGGTTAAATATCTGATCATTCATTTATCTTTAAATTTTTAAGTAAAAAATCTTGTACATAAAATCATAGATATTGTTTTAAGAGATTAAAGCTAAAAGAAGAACTTTTGTATATTTATCATGAAAATATATATAAATACTTTGAATGTATTTATCATTGGGAAATTCTTTATAAAAAATAGGGGAGATAATCATGTGTGTCAAACAAGGATAAACAGTGACTGTTTTGCCTTGATTCAAGTCAGTATATCTGTTTTTATACATAACATTTCATGTACGGGAATCACATTACTAAAAACTACATGTTCAGGAAACACATTGCTAAAAAATTACATGTTGAGTAAACACATTGATAAAAATTATATGTACAGGAAACACATTGATACAAAGTACATGTTCAGGAAACACATTGATAAAAATTACATGTTCAGGAAACACATTGATAAAAATTACATGTTCAGAAAACACATTGATGAAAATTACAGGTTCAGGAAACACATTGACAAAATTACATGTTCAGGAAACACATTGATAAATATCACATGTTTAGGAAACACATTGATAAAAATTACATGTTCAGGAAAAACATTGATAAAAATTACATGTTCAGAAAACACATTGATGAAAATTACAGGTTCAGGAAACACATTGATAAAAATTACATGTTCAGGAAACACATTGATAAAAATTCCATGTTCAGAAAACACATTGATGAAAATTAAAGGTTCAGGAAACACATTGATAAAAATTACATGTTCAGGAAACACATTGATAAATATCACATGTTCAGAAAGCACATTGATAAAAATTATATGTACGAAAAAAACATTAATTTAAATCACATTGATTAAAACTTCATGTACGGGACCCACTTAGAATAAAATTTCATGTACGGTTATTACATCGATTAAAATTACGTTTGCGGGAATCACATTGATAAAAATACATTTAAATGAATCACATTGATTTAATTACATGTACGGGAATCACATCGATTAAAATTACATCTAATGGAATCACATCGATTTGAATTGCATGTACGGGAATCACATCGATTAAATTACATGTACGGAAATCACAGTGATAACAAGAGGCTCATGAAAGCATGATATCACCTGTAATTTCAGTTTCAGGTCTTTGACTTATTGCAGATCTTACTTTGTTGAACAATTTTGTCATTTACACTTTCTCTCTTTCTATAATAACATTAAAGCTAATACATAACAGAAAACTGTAAAATTTCCTAAAAATGAACTATTTCTGGACAGTAACCCAACCATAAGTTGTCCTATTGTTCTAGAGATGACTTAACAGGTAGATCTAAACCTGTTTAACACTTTAACTTACGTCAATTTTGCACTTACTGCTTTAGTTTTCGAGATGAAAGCCACAAACTTCATTTGATCCCTATGTTCTATTTTTGGAAACTGCAGCCATGTTTTTGAATGGATCAAATCCCCGAATACAATCTATAACTTTCATACCCTAAGGAACATTCAGTTATGATAAGACGTATTTTGTCTAGTAGTTCCAGAGAAGACGATTTTTGAAAAACTTGCACGAAAAAAAAAGCAAAATAATTCACGTTTAAGGGGCAGTAACTCCATAAGGATTCAATTAACTATTTTGATCATTTGACTTATTTGTAGGTCCTACTTAGCTGAACATTTTTGCAACCTGCACTTTTTCTCTATCTTTTAGAATATTAAAGATAATAAACAAAAACAGTAAAATTTCATAAAAATAAACAATTTCGGACTGCAACCCTACAATGGGTGGTCCATTAGTCTGAAAATTTCATAGCAGATAGATTTTGACTTATTCATCACTTTAACTCTTGTCACTTTTACTCTAACTACTACAGTTTTTGAGATAAAAGCCAAAAACTGCATTTGATTCCTATGTTCTATTTTTATCCATGGATGCCATGTTTGTTAATGGATCAAAACTTTGGATACAATTTATGAACTAGATACCTTAGAAACATTCATTCAAAGTTTGAAGGTATTTGACCCATTAGTTTCAGTGAAAAAGATTCTTGAAATAGTTGACAACGACGACAGACGTCGAGAGACGACGATAGACGACGACGGACGCCAAAAGGATGGCATAAGCTCACATGGGGTCATTTGGGCCCCGGTGAGCTACAAATAACATATCCTTTGATTTAAATTACATATATGGGAATCCTTTTGATTAAAATTACATGTATAAGGTACACATTGATTAAACTTGCATGATTTATATAATTTACCATAACATGATCAGGAATCCCCAAATTATGATTGAGGTTACATGCATTGAGTATACTTGCATGGTTTCAGTTGTCTAAGATTGGCAATTACGAATGAATGCATTGAATACTGAATTCTGCAAGATACTGTGAATGAAAGCAGCTGAAGGGTACCTTTTAAGTACTCAGCAATCCTATGAACAAACCATTTGAAGATATCTAGAGGTCGATATCTGTTTTCCTTTCAGAGGCATTTGTCATAACATTACGCTGAGAACCATATTGCCACTGAATAAATGTTTTAGCTTATTTAGCAAAAACAACAACGATCAGCTATCAACAAGTTCATAAAATGACAAAAAGTCAACGAGTTTCAAAATATCTATTGAAAAATTCAAGACTAAATTCGACTGGTATGTTTTTAAAATATACCGTATGAACAGGTACTTATGTTACTTTATGTTATGTTATGTTATGTTATGTTATGTTATGTTATGTTACGTTATGTTACGTTATGTTATGTTATGAATGCAGACTACACGGGAGCTTTGTACGAAGAGGAAAACAAAGTTAGCATTATCCATTTACTTTACTCTCTGCAGTTCAAAGTTTGTTGACTGTATTGAATGCGTGTATCCCATGAAACATAAAATAAAGGAAACAACAGATACAGTTTAGTCTGACTCATATCTATTCCCACACCAAGAACTTGATGGTCAGTTGTGAACAAAATTTACGCCAAAAAGATGATTGCAGCTTCCTAGTTGTGAACTTTCCATTTCTATGTAGCAATTATACAGCAGCACCTGCATATGGAGTAAAGTTCTGCCAGTTTTTATCCCAGGGCTTGCGTATCCTATCATGATTTCTTTGATAGAGGTTTGCTGCCTACAAAGAAGCTGTTAAACCATGTGTTCCAAGTTGTAAAGTTTAATTATCCCTTAGCATTGTAGCATTAATTTAGTCCTCCTTTTCTCCGAATGTGACCTAACTAATTACAATTATCACCGTGTGTGCACTTACATGAGGAACACAAAAGGTGCCGCATGTGGAGAAAGATCTGTATACCCTTCTGGGGCACCTGCGATCATTCCAGGTTTTGATGGGGTTCGTATTGCTCAGTCTTTAGTTGCTAGGTTGTGTTTTTTTTGGCAAAGGCGTTGTTTTCGACTTGCGTGTTTGAGTGTCTCTTTGGTGTTATTCGTCTCTCTTTTAAAATTGTTAAGCAATTATTTTGACCAAACTACACATTGAAAATATAAAGATCTGAATGAATACAAACTAAATTGTGTTGACGGATTGTTTTACTTATTGTCTAATAATAACACATTGTTAATAATTGATTGATTGATTGTTGTTTGCTTTACGCCGCATTAGCATTGTTAATAATCATTCACTGGTTGGCAAATGATTAGAAGTAAACGTTTGATTGATCTGAAATTGGTTTGATTTAGTGAAAGAGATGACTATTTTACCTATCAATACCTATCAATAGTACATGGGTTACAAGTAAATTTATATAACAATTGATCACTAGCAAAGTAACTGAATGGTAGTTGGTAGAATGTTTTAAAGTACAAAGCGCTTTGGAACGGAATTGTTCAAAAGTAAATGGGTTATGATTTTTAAATGCTGTTTGAAAAAAAATGACACGGTACTGTAAATAATATGAAAAAGTTAACCCTTGATTGAGGGTGACGTTTTTTTTATTATGGCTGTTGCTTTTCTATCTGCATTTTTTTCTTTTGGTCATTGTGTTCTCTGCCTCTCTCTGTCTTATATGAAAAAGAAGAAAAGAAAAAAAAAGAAAAAAAAGCATCTGGCTGGCAAAGTTCTTAATTTCATTTTCAGATATATTGAAGATGTTCTGTTTCTCCATTAGCGACATTTCAATTAATAGCGACTGCATACATCTCATATATCCTATTTATGATACTACCGGAAGTAGAAGGTCTGTCAACATTGACAAAGATGGACGACTTAAAAAAAAATCTATGAGAAACGTGATAATTTCAACATTCCTTTTACGTATGTGACTTATTGAGTGTGATTACGTATGGCGACTTACGCTTACCCTTTTCGGTCTTTTAATGTGATTCCTTCATTTGTTTTTTGGTTTTTGGCTATATTTGTCTCATATTTGTCTCTTCCTTATCGACTTACGAGATTTGAACAGCGGTTAAATACTATGGCGCTTATTTATGACGGATGTAGGACTATTTTTTTCCAGTTTTTACTTACAGGGTCTATATGACAAAAATATTATACTGGAATTTGAATATTAAAGAGACTATGTAGTAGAAATAAAACAGAAAAAGAAAGAATTTGACGTCTCTCAAACTTTTCTGATGTATATATCGCCTCTCATAACGTTATTGGTAGCAGAGCCATTTTTATTCTTATACAAGATGTTCTCTACGATCCAAAATAATTTGCAAGAGGTAACAATCATTATTATCAGACTTGAAACTGAGAGACTTACCTGATTGGGGAAAGTTTACAGGTTCTATAATTTTAGACACTTTATGTGATCGAATTGGGAATAAAAAGTTTTACAGGTCACCTATGTGTTTGGTCGTGTTTTGGAGCTTTTAGAACAATGGAATAAAGATATAAAGGAGGCACTCATCAGAAGCTTTTATTTTTCACCGACCTACTTACGTTTGATTCAAACAGAAATCCCAGCATCCATTGGAGTGGACTAGGAGTTGTATGACTTATTTCTAGAGGGGAAACTTAAGAAAACATAGAAAAAACATAGGACAAAAACACTGTCAATGGAAACAATCATATACTTAGAGGAAAACATGTTCCTTCCGGAGCACCTGAGATCACCCCCAGTTTTTGGTGGGGTTCGTGTTGCTTAGTCTTTAGTTTTCTATGTTGTGTCTTGTGTACTATTATTTGTCTGTTTGTC